TTAAACCTTGGCTGTTATTCTTAAAAGTTATGAGAAACCATCCGTATTCACAATAAAGGAAGATTAGTTATACTATTTAATAAATATAAATTATGATAAACAAATATTGAGTGTCGGAATTCTTTTATGCAAACACAAGATAATTAAACCATAAAATGTACAACTTTTAAATTTTGGATTGAATACTACATCCTTATCAAGTGGCAGTTGGGGTTTTCAAAAAGTATGCAAACTACACCAATCATTTTAATAATGTACTAAATAGGTAATTTTAATCAAACTAGGATAAATTTTGTAATTTAAATATCATATAGAATACAATCATACATTATGTATGAATTATGAAATGAACATGTATCAATAACTTGATGCGTTATTTATTTATTTTCCATTGAACCTTTATATATATATATATATATATATATATATATATATATATATATATATATATATATATATATATATATATATATATATATATATATAATTATTTATTTATTTATTTATTGGGGTCAAATTATATAGTTACACAAATAAAAAAAATACAATTATTATTATTTTAATTTACATATTAAATAAATTAAATTAAGAGTAAACTACAGTGGTTGGTTACAATAGATGCCGGCCGGTGGTTTATGGAGGTGATTTATGGTTTTTTTGAGTTTCTTCATTAGAGAAGAGAGAACACAAATAATGAAGAGGAATGCACGTAAAGACAACTAGAGAAGAGTTAGGTAATTGGATGGTTAAAGGGGTGTTTGGATTAACTTTTTAGCTTATTGCTTCTAGTTTATTTGTGGTGAGAATAAGCAATAAACAATAAGCATGAGGATGGATGCTTATTAAAATTAGCTTATTTAGCTTAATAAGCTAGATTTATCCAAACAGTCAAATTAGCTTATTGTGAGAATAAAAAATAAGCACTTTTTTTTTTCCTATCCAAACACTCCTTAAGTGAGTCGGGTTTTAAATATGGGCTAACTTAATAAAAACCCTTAAGTTTTCAGGGTTTCGTTGGTTTTGCACAAACTTTAATTTTATGTCCGTTTTTGCTCTAATATTTTCCAAAAAATGTTCGGTTTTACCCTTTTACGGGTGATAACAGGGTACCATTATATTAACTTCGCAAAAAAACCCCCTTAAATTTACAGTTTTTTTTTACGTTTTTATCCTTAAGTTTAAAATTTTTGTTAACACTTTTACCCTATGTATATATATATATATATATTTTTTCATATTATACATATTCAAGCAGAAAAATCATATTTATAAACAAAAAAAATTTAATTAAATATTGTATTTATATTTTTTAATGTTAATTCTTTATGTATATATATATATATATATATATATATATATATATGTGTGTGTGTGTGTGTATGGGTTTTTTTTTTGGATAAACCATTTAAGATGTAAAAAAATAGATTAATATGTTTTTAGAACTACAAATACGTATTTTTATGTATTTAAAAAATATTCATATCAATAAAAAAAACTTGTTCATTCATAAACATGTTTATATAAGTATATACATATATTTTTAGAAGTGTAATGTAACGCCCGTAGATCCGGGCTAGTCAATTTAGAGATAATAGGGGTCGAAAATGACTTTTTGACAAAATATTATTTAGAATAAATAATTTGAACCAAGTTGTAGTATATGTCACAAGATTTCCGTACATATAAAGAACGCCGAAATCCGAGTTATAACAAAGAAGTTATGACCCGTCGAAGTTTCGCGACGGAACCGGCACGACACCGGGAAGCGTAAAAAGTGAATTTACAACAGAGCGATATTTAGCCTTAGTGATCTAAACGAAAGTCATAGAATATGTTAAACCGAGAAAATCCATAAAAAGAACGCCCAAATCTGACTTCGTATAAAGAAGTTATGATTTTTCTAAGATTCGGCTTAGCAGTGTACAGCCCGAAACTTGAATTTTAGTTCGAGCGGTTTTTGGCTTATGCGACCTAAATGAGAGTTGAAGATCTCATTAATAGGAACTCAACGGTAAAAAGACAGACAAAAACAGAGTCCGTATGAAGGAGTTACAGATTCTTCGCGGTCATTTAACAATCTAAACGCCTCGTACTGTTAAATTTAAGATCGGTCAAGAATTAGCCGACGGAGTCAAAATGAAAGTTGTAGATATTATTTTTACCTACGCGTGGATATAAAGAATGTCAAAAACGGAGGTCGTATGTGAAAGTTACAAATTTTAGAAGTCGGAAGTGTGCTGTGCCAAAATGGTTGATGTGGCACAATCTTGGCCATTGCTTTCTCCCCAAGTCTTGCCACTAGATGGTGACATGTGGCACCAACTTCAGCCATTTTCACCCTATAAATACCACCTCTCCCCCCCTCATTTTCTTCACACCTTTCCCATTCTTTCTTCTCTTTACTCTCTCTCTAAAACCTCTCTCTAGCCCCGAAATCCCCCGAAAAGTCTAGGGAACCTCCCTAGCACGAGGCGGAAGCCCCGGAGTGCTCGACGGCTCCGAGAAGAAGAGATTTCCGGCTCGGAAACGCTGCTCCAAGCAAAGCCTGGTTTTCTATAAAACCCGCTGTAAGTGAGCTACGCCTACGCTATTTTTAATATAGTTTTTATTTAATTATATTAACGTTATTAAGAACATATAATAAATACTTGGGCTATTATTATGGGTTATATAATTTTTTTAACGCTTATATAATAGTAATAATAGCTAGACTATTAATTAGTCTCGGCGAATAATAGACTAAAATCTATTGGTGATAATACTAGGTTTCGTCGAAGGAAATTATTTTAAAGTAAACGAAGCGCTGTCCGAGTACCGAGTCACCACCTTCTCAGGTGAGTGCATGGTCCCTTTCATCTTACACATAGATATGAAGTATTTATTATATAATTTACGTGTTGTGAGTGCATAGTCTCTTTCATCTTACACTTAGATATGAAGTATTTTAATATAAATTACGTGCTATGTGTACATATTGTCGGAATACTTGCTGTCTATGCTGAGTAAAAGATTTTTATACATGTTTTAAATGATTTAAACTGTATACGTATTTTATATCTACAAAACGTGTTGGGAAAAACATGGGTAGATGAAATAGTTGTTTTGTGATAACACGATGGGAGACATCAGTGTTGTCAGTGATCCAGTCATCTAGTGGAGTATAGATGACGACTATGGACGATACTAGACGGTCCAGTGGAACGATAGCAGTTTCGTAACATGTAGGTATTTTTGAACTAGGTGCTCATTAGGTATTTTTGAACTGAGTGTGTTCACTACGTATCTTTGAACTGAGTGTGTTCACTAGGTATTTTGAACTAAGTGTGTTCACTAGTTACTTTTGAACTAAGTGTTTACAAGATGTTTCGGACTACGTGTTCACCAGATATATTCTATAAGCCTTGGTAATGATGGACTTCGTGTCGATTCCTTAGGATGATCCTTAGGAATAAATAAACGAGGAATAGCGGGTTCTTAGGGTAGATCCTTCAGACTAAAGAAGATAATGGGGATGGGTAATTGGGTTGATTGTTTGATTGTTTAAACATAATAATTATATTATTGTGGGTTGAAAACCCTATGTACTCACCAGGTTTCCCAACCTGACCCACTCAGTTTATGTATATCACAGGTGATGAAATGAAGTGACATTACACTGAGAGATTTAAAGAGATGTAGATCACTAGTGTAAACAATTGTAAGTTCTGTTTATGCTTATGTTTCTGTATTAACGATGACATCCCAAACGTTTTAAGATGAATAAAAATACGTTTCTTCGAAAATGTTTTAATAACGTATTTATCGTGTTTTTCTGGGAACAAATTCCGCAACCTTTTTATAAAATGAAGTACTCTGATTTTCATAAAGCATAAACAAAATCGGTCTTTTCTGGCCGTGATTTTGGGGATGTCACATGTAAATATGTATTTTGATATATGTTTTTTTAAGTATAAATATATTTTTAAAAGTATAGATACATACTAATATATAAAAATGTAAAAATATGTATTTATACTTCTAAAAACTATATCTATAAAACACATATTCATAATTCTAAAAATATTAGTTATCTTTTTAAATGGTATAACCATGCAAAAACACAAATACACACAAACAAACAAACAAATATATATATATATATATATATATATATATATATATATATATATATATAACATTAAAAAATATAAATACCATATTTAATTAAATATTTTTTCGTATATAAATATGATTTTTCTGCATGAATATGTATATTATTAAAAAAAAATAAGCTTAGGATAAAAGTGTAAAAAAATTATAAACTTAAGGGTAAAAACGCAAATAAATGGTAAAAACTTAAGGGTTTTTTGCGAATTTAATATAATGGTAACCTGGAAAACCTGTTATCACCGGTAAAAGGGTAAAAACGAACATTTTTTCGAAAATGTTTAGGTAAAAGCAGATATAAATCTCAACTTTGGGCAAAACCGATAAAATCCTGAAAATTTGAGGGTTTTTTATGACATTAACCTTTTAAATAATCCCATTCTAATTTAAATAAGTATTAGATAATAAACGATAAATTAATTAATTAAAAAAACTTATTAAAGGTATAATAGCCTTCTAACTTTTAGAAGAACCAAACACATTACAAAATTAAAATGTAAAGACCGTCAGAGTTAAAAAAGAAAAAAAAATGTTAGATACTAAACGCGCAAATTACTTCAAACCACGTGGACCATTCGTGCAGTTCAATTTTAAATTAATTAGCAAAAACAATAATGTTATAAATATAGGATGTGGTTTAGATGATAAAATGGAAATGTTATTAAAATGAGGGTAAGTAATACTACAATAAAATAAATGTTCAAGTGATTGTAATATATTGTTAATAATGATGAATTATGCACTGTACAATATTGTTGAACATTTTAATTTTCTTATGTTTTGTTATTATGTAATATTTTCCTTTTTTTTTTTCCGGTGTTAGTATAAGCATAGGGCTACTATTGCTAATAGTGATGGGCTATGCATTGTACAAAATATTCAAGAAAACTAAAGCCAAGAGAAGGAAACAGAGGTTTTTTAAACGTAATGGTGGTATTCTTCTTAGACAACAACAAACAACCGATATTAGTTTAGTTGATAAAACCATTCTTTTCACCTCCGACAAATTAGATAAGGCCACTGACAATTTTAATGAGAATAGAATTCTTGGTCGAGGAGGTCAAGGTATAGTATATAAAGGCATGCTAGCTGATGGACGAATCGTTACAATCAAAAAATCAAAGGTGGTTGATGAAAGCCAACTAGAACAGTTCATCAATGAGGTGGTCATTCTTTCTCAAGTAAGTCATAGAAATGTCGTCAAACTACTGGGATGTTGCCTAGAGACCGAGGTGCCATTACTAGTCTCGGAGTTCATATCAAATGGTACATTATATGACCTTATTCATGATGAAACCGGTGAGTTTTTGTTCTCTTTGAACATGAGATTACAAATCGCTACAGAGGTTGCAGGGGCACTTTCGTACTTACATTCAGCAACCTCTATTCCAATATACCATAGGGACATCAAAACTACTAACATACTTTTGGATGAAAAGTATAGAGCCAAAGTTTCGGATTTTGGAACTTCGAGGTTAGTGTCAATAGATCAAACACACTTGACTACCTTAGTCAAAGGGACATTTGGTTACTTGGATCCAGAGTATTTCCAGTCGAGCCAGTTCACCGAAAAAAGTGATGTATATAGTTTTGGAGTTGTTTTGTTAGAACTTTTGACAAGGGAAAAACCAATTTCTTTAACTAGATTTGGTGAAAACAGAAGTTTAGCTTTACACTTCATGTTAGCCATGGAAGAAGGCGGGGCGATGTCTATTTTTGATGCAAGTGTTGTTAAAGAGGGTTCTAGGTCTGAGTTGTTGGCCGTAGCTAACTTGGCAATGCAATGCTTGAATTTTAATGGGAGAAATAGGCCAACAATGAAAGAAGTTGCTTCTGAGTTAGAAGGAATCAGATTATCACATGTTCCCTCTACAGATGAACCTAATTTTGGACATGTGAAGCATTATGAGGAAGTGACACTTGTATATGGTGAGTCAACATCAACATCAATAACATTTTATCACAATCCTAGTCAATGAATACTGGTAAATTTTAAGTTTTTTATAATCACGTCTTAGTTTATGCTTTTATAATTGTATGTTGATAATTAAGTTGTCTATGACAGTCAAGAGTATGGTACAGACTATGTCTCTTTTTTCTTCCTTACACCTATCTTAAAATTTAAATGTTATAAAGTCTACTTTGTATATGAAAGTTAATCTCTTGTACTGTTAATAAATATGTGTTTTGTATATATAGCATTTGAGTTTTATCATCAACATCTAGAATGATTATAATTAATATATTCATAGATTTATTTCAAAAAAAATTTACAATTTTTTAAAATTTCTTAAAATTCTCAAAACAATTGTTTTGATAAAATTATAACAAGTAGGGACTTGATATTTGTCAACTAAGTAAATGAAATACAACTGGAAGTGTACACGATTTCTTGGGTTGAAAATGAAGATCAAAATGCTGAAATACAAATGCACCAAAAAAATGTTGAATGTTATATTACAGATTCCATATATTGGTAACTTTCATCAACAAAAACTACCATCAACATTTCTATTCAGAAACTAGTCGTCAAGGTTAATATATTATATATGTTCATACGTATGAAAAATACAAAATCAAATGTATTCTTCGTATGATGGAAACCATTCTTTCCGATCCAACTTACCTTATACTAATAGTTTGGTGCAAAAGTATGATAACCAAGTAAAAAAGTTAGCATTAAGAATTCAGGCATCAATATACAGTTTTCTCGATTAAATCATGTAAAAATTACCAAGAAATGGAATGAGTATGTTAAACCGCCGTATATGGTTATAGTTCTTGTAGATATTACAAGGGCCTCTTGGTAGTATATTATTGTGTCATTATACAACCTATTGCAAAATCATATAAAATCCACATGATAATAACAATTATGAACCCTAAAGATTAGAAAAATAAATAAATAAATAAATAAATAAGCTAGCTTGCTTCAGTTTTCTTAAAGTATAAGTAAGATTAACCATGAGTAATTTTGAAACACCATTTGTATAAGTTAAAAGTCTTAAATTTATATTTCAAAACATTTGATCAATTTTAAGTGATGTTGCGAAATTTAGGTCCTAAAACATAGTTTGACTATCCATAATTATGGTTTTTAAAATACAAGGGTGTTCATTAATATGAGAAAATAATTTAACTACCTCATACACTTTTTTTGCCTCAAGGGCCCAGTCATAGGTGTTACCACATCTTACGGGATAACAACATATGTGGTACAGACTTTATTGTGTTTGTGCTTTGATTTCTCTTTGTAACACGCTTCCGAACATTGATCTTAGCCGTTTCACTAATAAGTACATCCCCCCCTTAAATCCAAGCATACACTAGCGAGTTCCAATTTTAGAAAATTCATCAAGACATGGAAGTGCATTTCGACATGATGGTTTGGCAGAAAGTAGTTATCAAGTGTTTAGAAGCACAACATGCTCAAGATTTTCTTCTAGATATCCCGGAGTTTGGCCATGATATGTCTCTTACGAACTATCGTGCTATCCGTAAACATCGGCCCTTAAGCTCAATATTCCGAGCTGACGAGATATGTTCGTTGTGTCAAAAGTCATGATAGGACTCTTTTGGAGAACATGTGGTTCATGGTAAAGAAATCCTAAGGTTTAAATACCAACACAATATGGTTAGGAATGTTTTGTTTGATATATTTAAGTGCGTTGGGGTTTCCAGAAAGAAAGAGGCGTCTGTGAATTTCGTGAATGACTCGACAGAAGGAAGGTCAACCCTTAGACTAACTTCTGGTTTTTAAATGGGTTTGAGGGAAGCATGCATGTGTGGACCTTACATGGGTATCTTTTACCATGGGCTTGAGAGTTGGGGGCTTTCAGTTGGGATAGGATGTAACGCCCGTAGATCCTGACTAATCAATTTAGAGATAATAGGGTCGAAAACGACATTTCAACAAAATATTATTTAGAATAAATAATCTTAACCAATATGTAGAATATTTCTCAAGGATTTCGTACATATAAAGAACGCCAAAATCCGAGTTATAACGAAGAAGTTATGGCTCGTCGAGGTTTTACGGCAAAATCAACACGGCACCGGGAGACATAAATAGTGAATTTATGATAGATGACTTTTTGGCCTTAGTAATCTAAACAAAATTCATAGAATATGTTAACCTGAGAGCGTCCATAAAAAAAAACGCCTAAATCTGACTTCGTATGAGGAAGTTATGAATTTTCTAAGATTTGGCTTAGCAGTGCACAACTCAAAACTCAAATTTTAGATCGAGCGGTTTTTGGTCTACGCAACCTAAGTAAGAATTGAAGATCTCATTAATAGGAACTCAACGGTAAAAAGATGGACAAAAACATAGTGCGTATGTAGAAGTTATGAATTTTACGCGGACATTTAACAGTATAATCTCCTCATACTATTAAATTTAAAACCGGTCGAGAATTAGCCGACGGAGTCAAAATGAAAGTTGTAGATATTATTTTTACCTAGGTGTGGATATAAAGAACGTCAAAAACGGAGGTCTTATGTGAAAGTTATGGATTTTAGAATTCAAAAGTGTGCAGTGCGAAAATGAGTGATGTGGCACAATCTTGGCCATTGCTTTCTCCCCAAGTCTTGCCACTAGATGGTGACATGTGGCACCAAGTTCAACCATTTTCACCCTATAAATAGAACCTATCATACCCTCATTTTCTTCACAGATTTCCAATTCATTCTTCTTTTTACTCTCTCTCTCTCTCTCTCTCTCTCTCTCTCTCTCTCTCTAGAACCTTTCTCTAGCCCCAAAACCCCCCCGAAAAGCCTAGGGAACCTCCATAGCACGAAGCGCAAGCCCCGGAGTGCTCAACGGCTAATACTGCTCCAAGCAAAGCCTAGTTTTCTATAAAACCCATTGTAAGTGAGCTACGCCTACGCTATTTTTAATATAGCTTTTATTTAATTATAGTAACGTTATTAAGAACATATAATAAGTAATCGAGCTATTATTATGGGTTATATAAGTTTTATTTAACGCTTATATAATAGTAATAATAGCTACACTATTAATTAGTCTCAGCGAATAATAGACTAAACTCTAGTGGTAATAATACTAGGTTTCGTCGAAGGAAATTATTTTTAAGAAGCGAAGAGCTGTCTGAGTTCGGATTCACCACCTTTTCACGTGAGTGCATAGTTACTTTCAGTTTACTCATAGATATGAAGTATTTTATATAAATTATGTGATGTGTGTGCATATTATCTGTATACTTGCTATTTATGCTGGATGAACGAATTTATACATTTTTTTTAAATGATATAAACTGTATATGTATTTTATATCTACAAAATGTGTAGGGTAAAACATGGGTAGATGTAATAGTTGTTGTGTGACAAAATAAAATAATGAGGACCACGGACTATAGATGTTATTGATGATCCAGTCATCTAGCGGAGTATAGATGACGACCACGGACTATTCTAGACAGTCCAGTGGAATGCTAGCAGGCTCGCAACCTGTAGGTGTTTATTTGAACTGTGTGCTCACCAGGTATACTCCATCCCCCACATGGTTGTCTTAAGGACATTTATTGTTGAGGAATCCCCTTAGCAGTAGTGTCCGTCCCGATGAAAGTCCTTAGACTAGATCCCTTGTGTTAGATGTTTTAGGGACGTAAAGTGAGGATAACGGGAATGGGTAATCGGGTTTGTTTGGTTTGATAAAGTTAATAAACTTATTTATTGTGGGTTGAAAACCCTATGTACTCACCAGGTTTCTCAACCTAACCCACTCAGTTTATTTATATCATAGGTGTTGATATGAAGTCACATTACACTGAGAGATTAAGGAGATATAAATCACTAGTGATAATGAATGTAAGTTCTGTTAATGTTTATGTTTCTCTATTGACGCTGACATCCCAAATGTTTTAAAATGAATAAAAATACTTTTCTTCGGATATGCTTTGAAAACGTATTTATCATGTTTTACCGGGAACAAATTCCGCAACATATTTATTAAAAGAGGTACTTTGATTTTTATAAAGCATAAACAAAACTGATCTTTTCTAGCCGTGAAAATGGGGATGTCACAGTTGGTATCAGAGCATTAATTTAAGCGAACTAGGAATTTATAGGAAATTTCTAGACTTAAACGTGATGATTGTGAGATGAGTGTCTACTATATTTTAGACACGAGCACTAGTTTATTTTAGGAAAGATGCCTAAAATGTTTTATGTGCAAAATGCTTTATGTTATAGCTATAAAAATACCTTATATGCTATTATTTGTTCGGATCTATGGTCTGTTGCCAACCGGATCTGGAAATTTTATGTGTTCAGATTTCTAAACGTTTGATTACGGTATTAGAACTGGCATATAACTTTTCGGTGTGACAAGGAGATCTATACATCTATCGTAAATAAATTCTTTCCTATCTTAAAATTCTTGCCTCAGTACACCGAACGTCTGCTTGGGAGTACAAATCGCCATGGTGAAGACAGAGTAGGAAATATCCGAGGAAGATGACAACCTGAGCCTATGAATGTGATGGGTCATGCATTGGTCGTTACGCCTGCACCCGAACCTTTCACAATGGCAGAAGTTTAGAAAGTGATGTGAACCATGATAGACTGAGAAAATAGAGGAAATGAGATGGCTTACGATAGTGAATGATACCCATCGGAAGATATCATAAGAGATGTATCTTGCCTTTAGAATACGTCTGATAAAACAGCAGTACGTCTAGAGAAGTACGGTACATCTGAATGTAAACATTTGATTCACGGGATGATAGAATGATTAGTGTAGTTCATAAAGTTTTCCTATCATCTAGAATTTCCATCACCAACCTAGTTGAAGCAGAACTGATGATTGAAGATACACATGGAAGAAGTCCTAGTAGAGTCTAGGGAAATTTTTATATTTATTTGGACACACTCGTATGTGTTAAATTGTTTTGTGATTTTAGGACTTGGGGACTGCGAGACAATACTTGGGATGTGTATGAGTAGGTGTGAAAGGTAG